ATTGGTAAGCGAGAAAGGAGGGGATGAGATGTTTTTTTTTCTATCCTTGTCACCTTCATGAATGTTTTGCTGGTAATAAATCAGTACTAGTAACCGTAGTCGAGGTACGGTACCATTCTGTATCCTTCCTCACTCTTCGCGGTACGGTATCGTACCGTATTGCCAGATATTTGCACGATACCAATATCGTACCGTACCGCTCCCCAAAGAGCGATACGGTATCCTATATGAGTCTGAAAGGTATCGTACATCACGGTACGGTTCTTAGTATCGTACCCGGCTCCGGGTACGATACTAAACCCTTGGGTCTGAGGGTATCGGGACCCGGTTACGGTGCTGGTATCGCCGATACGATACCAGTACCATATCTGTGGCGGCCTTGGTCAAGGTTCAAGTTGGGATTACAATCAAAGTTAAAATGTACAAGATATAATGAAGAGGGGATTCAATGATTATGTCAAGCGCTTATGGGGACGTATCAAGGCTTAAGGGGTTTTATCCGGTTTCGCCGAGAAACTCGGTCGTGCCTTTAGTTTTATGATTACCACCCAAATTCAGATTGTAGATAAGTGCATAAAAAAAGCTGAGACGAGATAAAACAGGAAAAGAAAGAAAATAGAAAGAAATAACATAAAAAATTAGGAGAAAATCCCATAAGCTTCAGGTCACATGAAATCCTTGACTCTGATACACTCAACGACTTTGCTGAATTCATCACCAAGGGGGACCATCTCAACCAGCCACATGTGGGTTGAGACAGACCGCTTGATGGTGATCGGAGTGAGACCGCCTCTGTTTGAGGAACAAACATCTGCGGCTGCCGAGAAGGTGCGCTCGGGTCCAGCTGATGACCCTGAACATGCCAGGTAATCTTTCGCCATTATGGCTATGATTGGAAAGCGGCCATGGTTCACCTAAAATGAGAGACATAAGAGGAAGATAAGGATTTGATCTTTTCAACAATGAAAAGATAAAGGATACTGACCAACCACCAGCGAAGAGATTCTTCCGGATTTCCCAGGTCGTATTCTGGCTGTTGCATTCGAAGGACAGATCGGAAATAGTCCTTGACCTGGGAGTCGTCACCCAGATCCTCTTGATAATCTTCATCGTCACTATACAGGTCAAAAATTGCTGCAGACGAGGAGGCATTTGAGGCCTTACCAGACTCAGAAGGTACGGGGTTTGGTTTCTTTAGGTTCGTTCGCAACTGATAGTCCTTGAATAGTCGGTTGAAAATTGATTCAGCATGAATGTAAGGCTCTGATGTATTTCCAAAGAACTTCTCAAAGAATTTGAGTCGAAACGCTGGGTGGAGGATCGTGGCCATGACTAGTGTTTCACATTTGAGGGCTTCAAGCAGGTACCCTTGGAGTTTGGATATCATCGCTGCAACCATCGGATAAAGGGCGTCACCTGAACATAGCGTCTTCTCTCGTTCTTGCAATTTTTGTCGCAGTTCAATATACTTAGGAATTACCATGGCCCCGGTGGGCATGTTTCCTTCCATCTGTTTAGTGATGGTCAAAAAAAGCTAAAGATGATGATGGAGACAAAGTCATCAATATGCCAGCTGAAATTGAACATTGAGGAACTTTAACGGACCTCTAGCTCTGAGTTGAGTTCCTCAATCGAAGCCCACTCTGAAGGGCTAATCGAAATCTCATGAAAATACCCGTGACGCTTTCCGTTTTTGCGTGGTCGATGAGTCTTGGAATGTACTCGGGCCAAGTCTTCCTTCAAAATTTGGTCGATAACCTTGATGAACAAACAACGACAAAGATGAAAGATGAAAGAAATTTCATAAAGGTCAATAGACCACTATGAATAGATAGTTGATGATGACTTACCTCACGTGCCAGCCAAGCTTTATGTTGGCTGATATACTTTATGTTCCATCTGATCCCGTACCCGGCGATCAGTGATCCCAGCGATAATCCACGTGATTCCATAATTCTGGTGTATTCATTTCTCCAAGAGGATGAACGAGTTATCCGGCGTATGACGAAGTCGAGCTGTAGTAGGAAAACGTAATCAAGATTGATATGGAAATGAAGGAATAGATAAGTTCGTGAAAATGGTACTTACCTTTTCTAAGATGTAGTGAAGCTTGTTAGCTTCTCTTTGATGAGTTGGTGCGACTGAGTCATTGAGAATTCGCATTGGGTTAGTCTCATCTTCTTTATCCGCCGCGTCCCAATCTGCCTCGTCATCCACTGGAGCATCGGCTAAAGTTGAAGCCAATCGATCCATGACAGAAGTGTCTTCATCCACATCTTGAAGGTCGTGTTCGACGTCAACGTCCGAGTGAGCTTCCTCTTCGTTTGGTGCAGTTGGAACATTGGGGACTTCTAATACCGGGCCATCACCAGATCATGAGGGTCGTTTGGCTCGTCTTCTTCGGCCAGGGTGGTGCACACCGTGGGAAATTGGCCGCGAAAGGCGGTCTTGACCTTGCGAGGAGGAGGGGTTTTGAGACCTAGAGCACCTAATCCCGCTCCCACCACAAGGGCAAGCTTGTGGCAGAAGCAGAAGGCGTGCATGGTCTCAGGATCCCATCGGTAGTCGGAATCTTGCCCACAGTGATCCATGAACTGACGGTGCAGTTCTCGGGCCATGGTCTTGTTATTGGAACCCGAGTCCGTGGTCTGGCTAAGCAAGTGAGGACAGAGTAACAATCTTAAATTAGTATACATCATCGCTTGAATATAATAATTCAAAGAGATTATGGTGCTCATCTTTGAAACCAAGTCATTCTTGATTAACACGTTGGCCAGAGGCTCGGCCAACCACTGCCCTCGATGCTCCCATGCCACAACTTTGAGGGTAAGGTGACGTGTTACATACTTCCAAGTAGGATCAATGTAATTGACCGTGGCACCAATGAAACCGTGTCAATTTCCTTTTGAAGTCCAGACATCGTGTTGCATGCAGAATTTCGACTCCAAGGCCTGTGATGAATAAGTCAAAAGTGAGATAGAAGGCATAAGTAAAAACCGAAAAACGGAAAAATCATACTCACCTTCAGCTCAGTCATAACTTGTTCTTTCATGGATAGGTTTAGTCGTTTAGCTTCTTGTGCCGCCCAATGCCTACCATACAGTTTTGCTTCAGGTCTCAAGTATTGGACGCATGCACGCAGCCAAGGATCAGCAAGCCTTAACCAAGGCAATGATTGCCTGAGAAGCCAGGTGCACATTCCTTGGTTAAAGGTGAGGTTGTCAAACTTTGAAACCTTGGTGGTCGTCACAAAACCATCGATCGGGCCACCACTCTCCTTCTGTTCAGCTTCCTCTTGAGCTCTTACTTCAGCGACAGAGGGAGGAACAATGTGACCCTCTGCACGAGCTCTTTGTCGACCAGGGCAGCCCGTGGATGCTCGGCCATTCTGAGTTGAACCATCTCGATGGGCTTTGAGGTTTCCTGTGGGATTAGTGAAACTGATTCGAACCGGGTGGCTCCTGTCCCGGGAGCAAAATTTGCACGGATATCCTAAGGGTCTTTTAGTTTTATCCTACACAGACACATAGAAGAACATATCAGTCATAAGATGGATTATGGAGATTGAGTCAGTCAAACTTACATCGGTTTTTTTGCTGTGAAAAGGTTCATCGTAGTAAGCTAGTAGGGCGTCGTTCTTCTCTTCCTCGTCAATATCAACATGCTTTCTTTTACGAACTTTCTTGTTTTCCTCGTCAGAGTCCGCTTGAAGGGTTTTCTTTGTAACTCGGACAGAAGATGCCTTCAAGAAAGCGGAATGAATCGGTCAGTACAAAGTTTCTTGATGGAAAAGTTAGTAGGATAGTAACTCACTTCGTTTCCTGTGGTCTTGTTTGCTTTCTTTTTAGGTGGAGGTTTGACAATCTGAGGAGCATCTTCATCATCTTCTTCATCGGAAATCTTGAAAAGAAGCACCCTGTCCACCTGAGATACTCTCAGCGACGAGAGCAAGCCACGCCACCCTTTGAAACATCCTGAAAGCACTTTCAATTCCCTCAGAAAGTAATTTGTAATCCGGAACCTTTGTTCTTGGGTCCACCTGCGCAATTCTTGATCCTTTCCTTAGTCTTTGAACTTAACAAAGTTCTTCACGATCGTGTATGTTCAAGGGCGCGGCAAAGCAAGGAGGACACACTTGTGAGAGACTCTGGTTTACTTGGACCTTCTCATGAATTCACAAGGACTCGCAATCGAATCTTCATCCTTTCTAAGGCTACAGATGTTCACGTTTTGTCGGTCTATTCACCTTTCCATCGCTTCTCTTGCCCTCATCAATAGACTTTGGTTCATAATCCTTCACTTTTGATTCATCCTTGTGTAGGACTTCAGGTGTTTGTTGGTGCCGAGCTTCAAGAGTGGCTCTCTGTCCAACTTAGGACCCAAATAAAATGGATCAATCGGACATGATTGAAATTAGGTTGACTATCTGAATATACTTTTGAAAGAAAGCACAAAATTGTCTCTGTGTAGCAAAAGCGAGAATCGTTCTTGGTGGATGCCGTTGTGCTCAAAGAACCCTCTGTTTGGTAAAGATTGTGTCTATGCTTGATGCCTTTGATAAAGCAAATCTGAATCACACTGAAAGGATAGTCAACACAATCTCCGGCATGAGATTGAGGTATGACCGTGAGTTTCACTTTCTGTTTTTCATTCTTAAGTTCTTGTCTTGCTCGTAGATTTTTGACTCCCAGTCGATCTCATTCTTATTTCTTTTTTTATTTCACTTTCTCTGAATTATATTTTCTATCATCGCTGGCTGGCCAGAAGCTCTTTTATTTTTACTCCATCTGATATATATCTTTTATCACCACTGGCTGGCCAGAAGCTCGTTTATCTCTCATCAGCTCACATTCGCCAATATCAACTCTTCAAAACTTCTATTTCCTTAGTCAACTTATTGACCCAGGTGGTCACGGTCTTCCCTCCAAATTAATACACCAAAACTTCCATACTTCCTTTGTACTGTTTTCCTGTGATTGAATCCATTACATCGCCTGCCAATGGATATCGGATTAACTGGGACAAGTTCCGCTGGGGCACACTCAAATTCTGAAGGTCAGTTCCTGTACTGACATATTTGTATTTAAACTTTGTTATTGATTTTGCCACTTTTTTGCCACTTGTCATAGGTCGCAGCAAACGCCAAAGAGTCGAAGACGGTAAGTGGTTTTAATTCTTTCCCACATATTTCCGATCTAATGTTATGGTTTGGATGTTTCTTTTTCAGATGGTTCTATGCATCGACAAAGCTCGCCACTAATCGACGACAATGATGATTCGGATGATTTTGATGAAAGTGACTCGGGTAAGTGTTTCACTATTCCTTTGTAAATAGGCTTCAACTGACCACACCTTTATCTTTCCAGATGGTGAACTCACACCTGCTGAAAGAGCTAGTCGGAAGCGCAAACTGAAGGCAATGCGAAAAGAAGAAAAGGAACAACGAGACCGTAATTCGATGTTGAGTACCATGGCCAACTCGCATGCAACTCCCAAGGCGGCAACTGCTCTAGCTAGAGCTCTTCAAGAATATGTGAAGATGCTTCTTGGTGTGTATCGGAAACAACGCTCTCCAAACCCTTCTAGCTCAGAACCTTCACTTCCCGAACCACCAACCGTCGATGAAGTTCACGCGTGGGCAACCCGTCAGCAGTCTCGTCAGGAATCAATCAACAATGCCATGGAACGTGCTGTCAAGAAATACCTTTCAAAAAAACCAAGCGACTTCAAACCAAATTGAACGCAAATCAGGACTGTAGAGAAGGATGCAGCTCAGAAGGCGATGCTCTCAGCGCCATTAAAACCTGTTAGATTTGTGTCTCGACTCTCACTAACGGTTGGATCGAGGTACGACCACAGATGGGGATCTCAATGTGAAGCTGCACTAGCTATGGCTGGCTTCACTCGCTGTACATTCGACTGGAACGGCCGACCCGATTCTGCTTGGAACACCGCCATGACACGAATCATTCTTCAAGAATGGGAGAAGTGCCACGAGGCTCACGGAACCAAGGCTTTTGGGATCATAGCAGCCGAAAACACATCAGCCAACCGGCTTGAGATTGTCCGACGATGGTGCGAGAACCAAGCTCCTAAGTTTCGTGACCAAGCGAAGATGAATGTGATGTCACAAACACCAGAGGGTAAGGTGCAAGCAGCACAGTTGCGCGAGATGTCTCGGACTAGGGACCGACGAAGGCGAGCAAAAACCAAAGTAAGTTTATTCCAATTCCAAGTTGTTTTTCCTCTTTGTGTAGATGTGACTGTTGTTGATTGTTATCTGTGCATTCAAAAAAGATCCACACCGCGCGCCAGGAACTAGCCCAACATATATTCGGTGTAAATTCTCCCGAATATCTCCTCTTGTCTCATTCAGAGGTACACTCTGAAGACAAAGTCACGATGACTAACGGCTCAGGCACCCGGACCAAAACGAGACTCGAGTGGCGTAGCGGAGCTTTGGATACATTTGTGAACCTTGTTGATAAAGCTATTCCTGGTCAAGAAATCATCCCAAGAAAAAAGGCACGAGCACAGGCAATTGTGGACTGCGGTGCATACTCATCGGAAAGCGATCTTGATGCATTTCCTCCTCAAGGGCTTCAGGAATCTCTGGTCTCGAATGCATGGCTCGACAAGATGTCTGGTGTTGCTATTTCAAATTTACGCCTTGGTAAGGCTGAGGTAGTTGACATACGTAAATCAATTCAAGTTTTGACTAATTTAATGTTGCCAAGGGGGGCTGCTGGGTTGGGTGAAGGATCAAGTTCAACGCAGGTACCAGGTGAAGGATCAAGTAGTAGTTCTGGACCAATGATGACTCAATGATAGCGCTGGTAGCTTCTGTGTTTTATCTTTTTTAGTTCATTTCTGTAAATAGTTGTTTTTCTCATGTATCCTGTCAAAGTGCGAGTGTTTATCTGTCTCTTGTGATCTCAGGTCTGCTGTTAAAAATTCTGGTGTTTTTTTGTTTTTGTAGAATCTTTCTCTCTTAAACAAACGGCTGTGGTTGGGTGCTATCTCTGCGCATTGGTTTACGCTTGTTAACATGAATCCACTCATTTGCTTGTTGAAAGCTACTCTTTTGATGATTGAAAGACTGATATTTTGAACAAAATTTGGAACGGGAACACCAACTCAAACTTTGCTCAAAAAGATCTTGCGATCGGGCAACAAGTTTTATGAGATATCACCCCTTGATGGTTGAATACTGTGCGTGATGATCAGCTGGTTTGTGGTCAAAAATATACAGAAGGGTTGTTGAACTCCTGTTTTGCAGTCTGATAACAAAGTTCTACCTTTGAACTCACTATCATATGTGTATTTTGCCCGTTCCCCGCTTCTTCAAAAACCCTTGATGACCTTTACTTCTGATCGCCTTTGATTTTATTCCAGTGTTACTCATGCCATCAAACGTGTTTGACTATCAACTACAACAACTACCTATGCACAACCTGACCACAGCAATTCAGAGCATTCAAAAACCATACCGATTCGACATCCTTGACACCAATTACCAACTGATTGTAAAGGTAAGTGATCATATTCAGAAGTGGAAATGATCACTCAAAGTCAAAAGCTCATACATTGTTTGTTGTCCGGATGTGTAGGTTACTCGTCAATAACCACCTATTACAAATCAAATCATGTCAAGAATTGATCGTAATCACTTCTGTTGCACCTGCGTTACTCTAGGGTGCAACACCGAGAGCTTTGAATATGGAGGGATTACTTACGTCGGCAAATTATTTAATCGTTCAAACTATCCTAAACACCTCGAGAAATCACCTTCTCAACAAAAAAATCAACCAGAACCGTCTCTTGCAAGTGGAAGTAGCACTGCACAGATGTAGTATTTTTCGGCTATGCAAAATGATTAGAATTAATGTCAAAAATAATTAAAAATGCTATGTTAATGCATAAAAATGCACCATTAATGCACCATTAATGAAAAAAATGCAGCATCAATGCAGAAAAATGCAGTGTTAATGCACATGCAGAATGAATGCAGAATTCCACCTTTTTCAATTTTTTTTGTCCTTCAGGTCAATCATTTTTCACTTGGGAAAAATACTACATTTTCCCAGTGTAGGGCACCTGACGTACAACAACCTTTCTCTCAGGCTGACCAGCAAACTCAATCCCAAAAACGTAAGCATTCGGATTCACCGGCACCTCAAGATCACAATAAGACTAGCAATATCAACCTTTGGCCTCAGAAGCATCCACGGACCACGAGTGAAAGTACAATGGTGCTGACCAGTAGTGAAATTCAAATTCAGCCTTCAACACTTGTTACCTTCTCCACCGAAACATTCAAAGTACCTCTTACTTTTTTACAACATTGTTATTGCCTTCAATCAATGTTTCATGTACTGCACGACCATTTCAACAAGCACAAGAGCGTACGAGGTTCTCGAATTTCCCTGAAGATGGAGAAGTCCAAGGTCCAAAATGCCCTAGCCGGTCATCCTCTTGCATCAAAGATTTTAAACGAGATTCCCTTGACCCTTGACAAACTCGTCAAGACTTTCCGGTTAGACACCAACATAGTCACTAATGTCTGCTGTTATGTATGCTGCAAGCTTCACGGAATTCTTGACCAATCTAACGCTCCTTTTATCACTCAATGCAATCATCTTCGTTTTCCAAAAAAAACCTCAGCAAGTACTTGAATAGTTTGTGAATTCCCACTTTATGTACCTAGTTCTTCAACAATCAACAAATTCAGACCCAAGTTGATCTTTTACCACCAACGCTTCATTGAATGGATTGCAAAGATGTTATCATTCCCTAAGTTTGAAAGCGCCCTCAACACACCTCTGACTTCCCCATGTCCTCCCAATGGTATAATGAAAGATATTTGGGATGGGAAGATTTGGAAGACTTTTAAAGATGGCGATGGGAAAATTTTTACCCGATCTTCTGGAAATCTTGTTTTCGGCTTCTATGCCGACTGGTTCAACCCTTGGGGCAAAAAAGCGGCTCGATTGTATTCTTCTGGGCTCATGGTACTCATCTGTTTCAACCTTCCACCCGAACAGCAATACAAATCCGAAAATATATTCCTTTATGGAATTACCCCCGGACCTCGCGAAACTGATTCTGATCAGATTGAACACCTTATAAGACCTCTTCTACTTGAGTTTCTTGACCTCTGGAGAGGAATCTATTTCAGCAGCACATCACTTCACCCAAACGGCCGCCTGATTCTAGTTGCCATCTGGCCGTTAATTGCCGATGTACCAGCCCAGAAGAAGATTTCGGGTTTCTCCAGTCATTGCTCCACTAACTTCTGCTCACGTTGTTATATAACCAACAAAGAAATTGAAGATGTAGATTTTAAATCATACAAGGAACGTCACCCCAATTCTCACAAGGCACAATCTGAGCAATGGCTGAAGGCCAATGACTCTTTGGACCGTCACAAACTCGTGAAAATATATGGTGTCCGCTACACCATATTCTCAGAACTCCCATACTGGCAACCCATCAACTTTCAAACAGTCGACATCATGCATTGCCTGATTCTTGGTCTTTTGGAGTGTTTTTCGACTGCTCATCTCCAGCTTGCTTCGGCTGGGGCAAGTCTCAAGATTCTACAGGAAAAACTGATCCTAAAGGGTGTATACACCAATTTCACCCAACCAGACGATTCTGGGATACAGTCTTCGGACCCCATTCAAGTCCCTCAACCTTCTGCTGGCGTTTCCGAAATGGAACTCGATCAACCTGAACCACCTGAAGAACTTTCCGAGAAATCCAGTAATCGCACACACTATACTCGCTCTGCTAAGACAAAGTTGGTCACAGAATGTTCCATCGAAGTTAGTCAAGATTCGGTTTCTTCGAAATCCTCCAATGCCACTGTTCATGCCCCTGAAGGTCCAGTTCTAACTCCACATGAGCTTGAGCTTATCCACCTATGCATCCGAGAAACCACCATTCCGACTTGGCTCACTCGAGTTCCTCATCACATAGGAATGGCAAGTGCTGGATCTCCAAAAGCAGCGGAGTGGCACATCTTGTATTCTGTATACATGGTATTATCACTGATACCGTATCATCAAAACTCTGATTGTGAATCATCATCTTGGAAGATCTATCAGGGTATCAGTTTAGCCACGCAAGTAGTCAACATAGCGATCTCACGAGTTTTGAGACCCGAAGACCTCAAGAACCTCGATCTCCTTCTTCTTCAGTACCGACAACATCTACAATCTGCGTGGCCAAATATAAAGTCAAGGCCGAATATTCACTACGCACAGCATCTCGCCAAGCAATGCAAACTATTTGGTCCTCCATCTTACACCGCAGCTTGGGCCGGGGAGCGGATGATAGGTACTCTGGTTTTGGCACCTAAAAACTCCCGTAAAGGTATGTGTAAAATTTCATTTTGCCTTGACTGTGCCCATTTCTCAATGACCAATACATACATTTCTCCTTTCTGAACTGAACAGGTGTTGTGGGAAAGACTTTAATCAATTCTCACACTCAGCATGCGTTATTTAAGCATCTCCTTATGAATACTTCACAAGAATATCAAGCTTCAATTGGTGTTGAAGCACTCTCTCATTCAACCTCAACTAAATGGAAACCGGTTTCTCCTTCTGATGAAGTCTTGACAGAACTTCAAGTGGCAGTAGCAGGTCGGACAGACTTCACAATCTCTGAAACTTCGAAATTTGAGTCAACCGTTCAGTGGGAACATGGAGGAAAGAACTTTACTCAATTTTCAAAACATAAGGGTAACAGTTATGTACAGTTTGAAACTGGAGGACGAGTAAACTTTGGCACTATTGATGAAATACTCCGTGTAGTTGGTAATAAGTCCCCCTTTTTTTTTGGTTAAACCTTTCACCGTTCTTCAAGGACTCGATGAATCACGGAACCCTTTCCGCTCCCTGCCCTATTTGAAAGCTACAGTTATGTACCATTCATATCAAAAAGTCCAATGTGTGCTAGTTGATAAAATGTTTGGACATGTTGCTGTACATGTGAATCCCCCAAATACGTTCAACATATCCCACGCAACAGTATCAATAGTTGCACTCAGAAGCATGGTACGTTTCTCTTGAAATATCTACCCTTGGATGATCATACAATACTAATGGTGATGTACCTCCTTGAATCAGGGTATTTGCAACACTGCATTTAGAACTTGTGATGATTTGCTTGAAAACAGTGACTGATATATGGGACTATTGAAATCATCTTATTATTGAATACAGTTTCAAAAGTATCTTAAAAAACGTTTACTTTAGGAAAAAGGATTATTAATCAATTTCTTGTGACTCCAAAGACTGTTATACATGCTGGTAAGTCTTGTACTTTATTCAAAATAGTTGTTTCCTCTTGTGATTGGAATCATTTCCATTCAAGTCTTTATGTATCAAGTGGCAAATTTGAGGAGGACCTGATCAAGCATGATAGTCTGATCACATCGAAGGAAATTGAAATAAAAAATTCTATGGCTCTTTTATATTTCAAGGACAGTTGCAAATAGTTTGCATACAACTCTAGCAGATCGTCAAGTCAATGAAACATGAATATAATTTATATCACCAACTTCAAACTACCCCAAAGTACACAATTAAAAAAGCGGAATAAGACAAAGACATTTGTAAAGATGAAACATGTATCAAGATCTACCAGTAATACTGTTTCATAATGGATATCTTAGAGATTGATTTATCCTTAAAGATTGTGAATTTCTTCACAAATCTGATCCAAATCTACAACAGGCTTTATATCTAAGGATCTCTTATGTTTGTATGTGAGACCAGAGAGAAAGACTGCATTATAACAGTTCTCGGGAAGACCACAACATACAGCAGCCTTTGGATTGAAAGAGGTCCCTGGGATACGACATTGATCAAAACGACTGATTGCAAGGGCTGGAGTGTCGACAGTAGCTTTGTAGTTGAATGAAAGCCCATCTATTTGACGAATAAGATTTTCGTACTGTTGACTTCGCCACTTCAATCCCACTCTCTTGAATTTCACCTGATCTGGATACCACTCAGTGTCTGAGCAGCAGTCGGCATCGGGCATTATAAGCATGGGATCAACTTTCAGATGGCGTTTGATTGTCTCTTGGCGATAATTGAATAGCTGAATCATTGGATAATCAAATTCAGCCGAGTCTCCTAGAACAATAGCATGCTGTAAGCAGAGATCAACTGACCGTTCTCCTCTTTCGCGCACGCTCACGGAGCAAAAGCTTTTGGGTGTCCCCGCGAACCACTCGGATATCTTCAGCTCGTCCACGTAACCAGCGAAGTACAAGGGAAATGCAATTCATCTCAGTATTGTGAGATGAATTAATCCCATAATTCTTGAAGGCTCCGTGCTGCCTTGCATAGCGCCAGTGCTTGACCACAAAAACAGCCATTGTACGATTCCAATGATGACTATCCGGAAGATCCCATGCAAATGTGAATCGATGAATGTTATGATTTTGAAGGTCGGCCATAAACCTGTTCTTGTATTCTATCATCTCTTCATCGTTTAAAGTGGCTGAAGCAGAAGTGGGATTCAGTGCAAATACTAGTTGATCCATCATAATCTCGGGTTGAGTAAGGTTTCCTAGCTGCTGGAGTTCCTCTGGACTCGGCGTCATTGGATAAGCTTTATTAGATTGATCAACACCAAGTAACATCCGAGTAAAGGCAGCCAAAGAGCGACTGATTGCAGCGTTGTGTGATGGTAGAGTGCTCGCAACAGACGCGTTCAAAGACTTGATTGAAGTCGGTGGAGATCCACGTTTCCAGATGTGATTGGTGCGTCGCCGGTTTTGTGCCGGTGGCATGTTGTAGTTTGTCAAAGATTGAACAAGAGGTTGGAATGATACGTTGTTCTTGTTTGAATGAAGTGCACTTGATAATTCAAGACTAGGACTGTACGTTCTAGTCGGGCTATACACTCCAGGCCAACAAGGACAAGGGAAAGGTCTTGAAAGGATGAGCAAACTGAAATATGTTTGGATAAAGGGTAATGATACACGGAGATAAAGCTGGTCAAAATTGAGCGTGATCATAAGACTAAAGCAATGTTTGGGTTGCTCTCGTCGTCGAGAGTGCCTCAGGTGGACAGGGTGAAGTAGGATGAATTATTTGAATCAATCAGTACGTAGCATCGAGATGGCAAGTTGGTTGTAGTGAATAATCTCTTACCTTGTTTTTGGCGCGCTTCTTTCCTTTACTTGGTTTGATGATCTGAGGAGCATCATCAGAATCATCATCATCGGGCAAATCAATGACTGTACGTGTTTTCTTCTTGGGATGTGGTTGAGATGCATCATGGTCGACTGAGAGCCTTCGACGACTATCGGGATTTGTAACAACCATTCCAGGAGTCGTCACACGGCTTCGTGGCCTTTGAGAAGACCGAGTAGGAGTGGCTTGGACGGGGGGACCAAAGTTTAAATGAGATTGACTAGAACTCGGTACGACTGATAGCTGAAAAAAGATGTAGTTGAACATCTGTATGAATATGCCAAAAAAGGGACGACGAGTAGGTGTTATCATGATGGGTGGATGTTAATATTAAGATGATAGTCAGAAAACGTGTCAAAAGGAAGGATTAATGGTATAATTGGGAAAGATTGGTAAGAGTGGAAGGAACGAATACTTGAAGGATTGAGTGACACACGAAAAATCCGACTCACGTTCGACTGCATGGTAGTTAAACTTAGGTCCATCGCCAAGCCGTGATTAGTTCCCCTTGCATTCTCTTTTGGACACATTCGGTCTTGATGAGTCGGATTTGATGGTGATATGAGTGGGGTTTAGTGGTGATTTCTCTCTAAAAGGGTCATACACAGCCCCCCTGCGCTGAGTCGGGTTAGCGCGTAACATAGTTACGGTAACGGGGTGCGTGGCTGATGTGTAACTCGAAAAAAAAAACCCGTTATCCCGGGGTGATAACGTAACTCAGAAAAAAAATCCCCGTTACCAGGATCCGTGAGCGTAACTCACTGGAACCCCGTTAAGCTATCCGATAACTTAACGGTTAGAGCTACGTTATCGTTACGCCGCAGCTACGAGTTGCGCTGCTGGCTCAGCGTTGGTTGTTGTTGTAATGAGGGGAGTGGTTTTGGGGTTGGCTCGTCGTCGAGTTGCTGGCTGACTGCTGAGGAGCGTCCCGTTGAGGTTCCGCCGCTCGAAGGCCGAAAAAGTGGATCGACTGAGCTCGTGGATCCCAACTGTCGGTACCTTTCCACAGGTATTTTTGAATCTCTTGAAGAATCGTGGTATCCTTGATCTGATACTCGCTTGTCAGCTCCTTCCATACTTCCCTGCCTCCCAACACCAACTCCTTCAGCATCTTCTTTTGCTTCTTGTCGTTGTTCACTACTAGGCGAGCGTTCTCCCACTTGGTGTAGTTGAGGCGGAGTTCCTGCCACTTCATGTGCCAGGCTTCCGTCCTCGCGAACTGCTCCTGATAAGATAGGTAAGTTAGCAATCGCATTATCGGTATTGATCGTTAATGGATTCATAGCTAACTTACTGGAGTTGGTTCTGACTGTTCCCTGCGATTCGGTTCCTTTCCTTTGGGCTGAGGTGGAGGAGATTGCTCGCCTCCCGCGTCCTCCTCCATCCTGTCGTTGCTTGACCCCGCTGGAGGTTGATTCCCAGTTTCCATAACGCTCTGGGTTCGTTCGGCTACGAGGAGGCATAGGAGGTGGAATATAATCAGACATGATAGAGATAAACAAAGATCGAGGGAATGAAAACGTTTTTTGAAAAAAAAACTTGATAAAAAAGGAAAGAGGAAGGTAACAAAATATTACTCACTTTCGATCAAATCGGATCTTCTTACCCAATAGACAAAGTCACCTTCTTGTTTTCTAACTAGACCTTGAAGGTTTTCTTTTAACACTGAAGATTGAAATCGGTTCGGTGTGGTTAATCCTTCTGATGGATTAGGACTATCGGGGTGTTTCGGGGTGTTGATAACCGAAAATGGTTGAAAGTCGGTGTCAATGGACAACTCTCGATCACCTTGCTCAAGTTCGTTGTTCGAATCTTCTTCAGTTAAAGAAGGTAGGACTTGATCCAATTTTTCTAGATCCACTACTAACAAAAATGATTATACGAGAAAAATTTGAATAAAATGAATCATTCAAGTTAAAGGCGAACGATGAATTCCAACAAAATCAACAAATTGTCCAAAACCTCCACTGTTGCCGCTGAACAAATTCACGTTTCAACCAAGCGAAGTTACGGTCAAGCGAGATTTACTTTTTTCTCTTTCATAAACAATCATTACAAGGTAAAGGTCAACTATGAATTAGTTTATCGATAGATGGACTAACCGTCATTTTCATATCAAAGCCCACCAACTCCAACAAAATTGGACAAGATCCACCGTTAGTGCAATTTTCAAGTTTTGCACATGGGTCAGAATACATTTCAAGATTCATTTGTGGTTCCGTTTATTCAAATTCCCAATCATCTGCTGGATACCTTGCCTCTTTTGACCTCATCCGACAATCATTTGCGAGTCAAACTACATTCCCCTAGCCGATTTTCCTGAAGCACCCAAATTGCTCCTACGTAGGTATATGTATCAAAGGATCCAATGCAAATCCTAGCTAAACATCATCCAAAATTCACCCGTAATTCCTGGCAGAATATATACGATTTCAAGATTCTATCATTCTCTGTGATATATTCAAACATAATCAAATTGACCATTTCATTGACAAACCCAAGCAGATGCTGTAGCTTCTAGGCTTACATCAGTTCATCACTCAACAAATATTACTTTGGCTCTTGGTCCTCAACAAACGCACATAGGATCATTGCCTTTCATTCATGAAGATCTAGATAATGAAGAGTTGAGTTTGATTTTACTCTTCTATTTCAGATGCACTATGAGTTGACTGATCTGAATTTCATTCCATTACTTTCTTGATTTTGAGCGGATTACTATTGCTGAAGAGACACAGCCTTTGTCAAATACCTCGATCAAGAACGTTACGAACTCTTGATTTTATAGGAACAAGATCAGATCAGTAAGTATATAGAAAGAAATAAATGAGGCTTTGTCATAATCCAGTGAGATTGATTATTTGATCTCATTTAAATCGCTCATGAATCACTAGCAGTCAATCAGTTTCCCCGATCCAAAACTTTACACTTGAGATTTTGTTAGATTGACTCAAAGGATTAGGATCAGATCTTCAAGTTTACCAATCCAATCAATTCAAAAAGTATCAGGGTCAAAAAGTAAGCTATTTTGAATTCATTCCTGTGATTGATTTCTTCTATTTTCTCACAGAACCAACTCATCAAGCAATACATTGACATAATAAAACCCATCGAATCTCTTTAACATTAATCAAATCAGAGCAAAACAAAAGAATGGCTAACGTTCAAAAATCATCTTTTTCAATAGGATGTTAACGGCAAATGGAAAGGATCAGGGTTGAGGTGGAAGTGGGGTCCGGGATATGGGTGTGACTGGTATCAGATCAACTGCAGAGTAAGGCAGGAAGCAGAGAACTCGAGTGTTGGTTTCGTTTTGATTGTTAGGTTATTGGGATTTGGTTCTTGTGTACTATACGATGACAATTAATAAAAACTGATGACCTCTTACCTTCAAACTCACCGATCCATTCTCGTCAACACCTCGCTACCCTTCAATCACATCGAGATATCATCACAGCTTTAGCTCAACTCGGTGAGCTTCATACTACTCATGTTTTTTGATTCAATCAAAGAATCTGCGTGTCAATCTCAATTGACTCAAGTGCTGTTTACCGATCAGAATCGACGGAATTCAAGCTCGATAGCTCTTTGGCCAACCTTCTCTCTTCGCCCGAAAGACTAGAACAGCCACTCACGCAGATAGCCGATCTTAAGCCATTGGTCTCTTCACTCGTTCAAGTTGCATCGACCCTTTATGAAGTGGTAACCAAACAGGCATCTGTAGCCGAAAGAATATGAAGCAAGGTTCACATCCTAGACCTCGAACAAAGCAGGGTCAAGGAATGCATCAATCGGGTTCAAGCTGTCACAGAACTTAAATACGCCTTAATCAATGTATTTCAAGCGATCGAGAAAGCTGATCAAGAAGCTGCTACACGACATATCCAATGTGCCAATGGAATCACTCCAGAAATGATTTGTAGTCTACTTGCAGAGGCAGTGGTGGTAGGCGATCTTATAGAGTCTTTTAGATTTCTTTTCTGAAGACAAAATGACTCTCATATGTTTATTTTGTCAGCCTACGACCGATATTCCTGAACCACCTTCAATCGCTTCAGAAAACTTTATAAATCAACCAACTGGAGTCTTCTTGAAGGCTTTCACTCAGGCTGCGAATTCAAAAGATGAAGCTACTACCAATCGACTCTTTAAACTCTTTCCACTTTTAGGGTCCAAAGCTTCTGAGGCTGGTTTATCAGCTTGCTCCGATTTTGTGCGACCTCAGCTACATATCGGAACATTATTGTCAATCGCTCACTTAGTTTTGTAAGCTTTGAACTTCATGTGAACCCATGGGATCTTACAGTGTCTGACTTTGTTTTGTTGATCTGGAATTTTACACATGTCTTTGCTACCTAATCGATCTCAAGAACCATCACGTTGTCCAGTAAGAACCAACAGTCATTTTACTTCATCAAGTCAACACTCACATCAACACTTACAACAACAACAACAATACGGAGATTCAAATTGACCTTCAACTACTGTAGCAGATGATTCAAATTACTTACAATCCACTCAACAATATTAAAAGTGAATAGATCGATCCCAGGCTTCTTAATTGTTATTCATCTTTGATTTCAATTTCATCAACTCTGCTCTTTGGTTTTAAAATTTTGAGCCAATCAATCTCCTCACTTGATTATAATACTCTTGTGTTCACTTCATGTTCTTATCATCAATTTCATTGGACTGGATGGTATCACCCCTTCATATTTGACTCATTTGAGACACAAATCTTGGTCAACTTCAATCATCATGCTTTGAAACAATTCAAAATTTTCATTCCTAAATTTCAAAAAATAAAATGATCCTCATCTTTTACATTGTTATCTCAAAATGTCAACTTTATTTCTTTGGCCGCGAAAGAAGTTTATGTTTATCAATTTCAATTTCAATCTGATTGTTCATAAATAAATTACATCCAATCAATCATTTCAAACCAATTCTAATTTACTTAATTTCTCCAACTTTCACTTTGATCAGTTACTATAATTTACAATTTCCTATCTTAATTTCATTCTCTACAGTTGCAAGTTTTCTATCCTTTTGACTTTAGATATGATTATTCATAGAAAATTTGGTCAAAATAGCTCCAAGGGTTTTGCTTCATCAATCATAATTGGTCACATCAACCGGCATGTTTTCAATTCTTCACTTTTTGTTTCTTCAAATTGTTCTCTTCAGGCTGACTGTCATGTATTTTTTGATTTGAATCCTGTGGAACTGTCATCCACCTGTCTATTCAGACCAAGCGTCATCAATTTCAATTGATCGATATCATCATCAACAGCAATCGATTCATTCCAAAGGTCCTTACATCCCCCCATGATCGACTCGATCTTCATATTGTGAAAGTTGGTACATCATTTCGACTTTTTCTGACTGATGTTCAATTTTGGTTGGTGAGACCGTTATGGACTCTTTTGGCGTCAAACTAGAGATTGAAGTGAAAATGGAATTTATGATGAAGGTTTAGGTAGAAAGAAATATAAAGGTATTCAATTTCCATTTCAAATTCAAATTCTAATCAATCTTGAAAGCATGATCCTTGATTCACACATAGAACATTATCTGAAAGCGAAATCTCAACTTTATTGTCAGAATTCCCCACAACAACAAATCAAATGATACAGGTTCAAGTGCGATGCCCAAATCAATCTCAGCAAGTCTGACAGAAAGTGTTATAGCATATCAAGACTCAAGATCGTCATTCCATGCAACAAGTTAAAGGTCATCAATAGCTCAATGACAAAAGCTGAAATCCTTAGCTAACCAAGTAAACTCAACTTTCTCTTTGCTTCATCATTGTTGCCATTGAACTCCCCATTCCCATCCACTTTTTCATTTGCATTCGCTTACTCCCGACAATTGAGTATCATTGAGTTTTTGATTGTGAGGTTCTAATCGAAGAAGAATAATTAGAAATCATGAGATCAGAATATTTTTCTGTTTGTTTTAGGATTGCATATAAATCTTGAAGCGAAGATAGAGGTACGGTTCAATGGATTGGATGAATTGGAGCTATTCAATTTATTGAAGTGATGAGAGCAATTGGTACAATTGCAGGAAATGTAGGAATTCAAGATCAAGAGACAATTCAAGATCAAAGTCTGGAAAATGGTAGAAATATGATTGGGAAATTGAATTTGAAGATCAAGTTAATGAAAGTCATCCTGAGATCAGTCTAAGATGCAACCTAAGAGGTTATGCTCCTTTTTGCAAGTAGGGTGGCCAAATACCTCCTCAATAATTCTATAATCAGTTCAAGGCACCTTTGTCATAGATTTTTATAATCTTTTCACAAAATATGCAATGTACACTGCATAGTGGAAAATGAGGTGGCTCCTGTGTTGCCTTTGGTCCATGCATCTTCACACTCCCTCTGAAATGTTGATTTGATGATAAAATAGTTTTGCATGGTGATTGGCATGAGGACCAGAGATGGACATGTGATGTGGTGTGGGCCTGGCCAGAGTTGTATTGCCCCTTTATAGCACCGAGAGGAACACAAGGGGCAACCAAAGAAAAGCTCAAAAAAGATAGAATAAATGTAACAAACATTAATCACAAGAATGAGGTTGTGCTGGCCAAGACGTGTCTGAAACAGGAGGTATTGGGCAGGAGATTGAAGAACTGCAGTTGTTACAGGTTGTTGCCATCACAGACTGGTCCTACTAATAGGAAAAATCTGGAAAAGACAGCAATGGAAGATATTGTGCAGTTATGTCTGTAATCAATGATAAAGATAGCCAAATTGAATTTGTTGTTTTCACATGTGAATCATTTTACTTGGTATCATTGTTGAGATTGAGTTGAAATTTTGATTTCATATCAGTGAGTTCATGAAATTGATGGAGTGTAATTTGATAGAAACAACCAGGATTCTGTAAAAAAAAGTGCAATTGATTCCTCTTAGAAATTTGCTAACAACATGCTGGATGTGTGTTGAATTTCTTTCCCCTCTCTTTTGTGTCCCATTGATTCAGTATGAGTTTGAGATCTTGATGTTATGTGAATTGTCTGTAGCCACAACTCTTTGTAGTGCTTGTGGGTAAAGATGGGCTGAAAATGCCAAGCTTTGAAGCCAATATAATTTCAAGTGGTTGTTAAAGTTTCTGAAATATTGAGTCCAGTAAGTCAAGTTTCTGCTTTGTTATGCCAGAATGTGCATTGCATTTGATTTTAAAATGCATGATATTGTTGCCTGCATGTTTCTTCAGCAGAATCAAGTTAACCCATGTGAAAAAAGATGGATTTCACTATTTATCGCCCCCTCGCGAATATCCGGTGCCCCTTGGGATACCCGCAGTACCCGACTCAACCCGAGGTAATCAAGCCACAGTTTGGGTGACACGGACCTCAGGGGCTACTTGATTGTATATCGCCACACATCGCAGCCCCTATCTGCCCATATTTGAGCACCTCTATACCCAAAAGGGCAACAAATACGTTGTCGCCCTTCCGGAAACAACCAAAGGGGCTGCACAATGTTTGTGAGCCTGGACCGGCCCTTTGTGAAGTCGGCATTTGATACCGACAGGTAGATAAAGAGTCCTTCCCCTTGTTCCCACTCATCCCACTTGTAATACACTTCACTATTCAAAGTTCCACACATTCAACACTTCCCTATTCAAAGTTTCAACTTCAAAGTTCCAATACGTTCCAATACATCCTAATACTTCCTATTTCCCCACCAAATCTTGAAAATCTCTTGATACTTCATTGTAACGTGATGTCCTCCGCACAAGATCCGGCTATATCTGTTACATCAACAGATACCCCGGTTCCAGATCACAAACATCCACAAGTTACCTCGTCGTTAGGAGATCACCCCCCTCCAAATCACATCCATCACGTTACTCATCAGCATTCCACGTTCCCAGTTGAAAGCTTCGTACAACCCTTCAGTTCGTTTCCTGATAACCCCAATAACCCGAATCACGTTTATACCTCGTTCCCAGCTCAAAGCTTTGTACAACCTCCCTTCTGGTATCCCGCACCTGGTTTATCGTACGCTCCACCCCAAGGACATCACGTCTTTGGGCAAGGGCATCCTGCTCCTCTCAACCACCCACAAGGAACCATGCCCACCGCTCACTGGCAAGCATACCATCAACCTCAACCTCCATCTTTCGGAAACGGACCCATGTACCATCATCCACCAAATCTCACCGCATACCAACACCCATTCCCTTTCAGATATGGGCCGCCTGTTCCTCCATTTGTACCAATTCCAAACCTCGCTGACTCCAATCCCGCTAGCGACACATCAGTCAACAATACGACTACGCGTAACACAGATTTGACTCCGATTCCACCCATCGTATCTCTTGAAAGTGCTCAAACACCCACTCAAGCTAATCCTGCCGCTGCTATCACTCCAACAACTTTTACAAATGACATACCAATTTCAGATACACCAGTAGAAGATCCGAATGCTACTGAACTTGTGTTGGTTCAAAATGACGAAGAGATATTGGCCAATGAACGTGATGATGACTGGCCACCAATTGGTACGTCTAATATTTTTTGTTCTCATGTAGACTGTTGTTGACAACAAAGTGGGTATGTAACAGGTGCTCTCCCCGTCCGTGCAATGCAAAATCCGATAATTGGCAAAGAATTTCACCAAATGCTTAATGGACTGATGTATATGAACGCAGTGGCTCAATACCAAGGTTACGCTCTTGCGGTCAATAGTCACAAAAAGAATGGCCAAAACACCATTCGAGTCTACCTGCAATGCTCTCTTGGATACAAATCAAAAACTGCCGGACAATCAACCACTGAGAAGAAACGTTTGACGTCTTCGAAAAAGACCGGCTGCCTCTTTGAAATTTCACTCAATTTTCGGTCCGGAATATCCCGATGGGTTGTTAGCCAAAAGAACCGAGATAAACTCTGCCACAATCATCCACCTTTTGATCAGCCACACAACCTGTCTATATACCGACGTTTCTCCTCTGAAAAAAAGAATCAGATCAATATTCTATCTTCTGCAGGATGTGGAGCTGGACAAATTCGACAACTACTCAATATCGATCCTGAGTCTCAACCTTTGGTACGTGACATTCACAATGTCCGATACGGTCTCAGAGACACGTGGCTTGACGGCCGGACCCCCATCCAAGGTCTCTTCGACTTGATAACCGCAAGTCACTGGGCTCATCGAACTCTCACCGCGGCTGATGGCACCATTCAGACCCTTTTCTTTGCAAGTCCCAGCGCCATCATTCTTGCTCGAAGATTCCCAACGGTTTTATCACTTGACTGCACTTATAAAACAAACCGTTTCAACCTACCGCTGTTACACATCGTCGGAACAACAAACACCAACCAGACTTTCACTGTTGCCATGTGTTTCATGAGCAGTGAAACACAGGCCCAGTATGAATGGGCCTTGACCCAACTCAATGAAGTCATTTTCAAAACTGAAAACAAATCATCAACTTCAGTAACTCCAAAAACCTTTGTTACCGACGCGGAACCGGCTCTGTTCAACGCGATCGCAACGGTTTTTCCAACTTCGGTACACTTATTGTGTGTATGGCACATCAACATCAATATTGCTAAGAACTGCAAGTCCAAGTTCACTGATGCCGAGTGGACGGATTTTATGAGGGTATGGAACGCTTTTGTAGCTTCAACAACCACCACGGACTATCAAGCCAATCTGGATGCTGTCACAAGTTTCGCGCGAGCTCATGATGGTCTGGAATACCTTCAAAGGACCTGGTTACATCGAGTTGAAAAATTTGTCACCTTGTTTACTTCAACCACGCCACATTATGGTAATTCTTCGACCTCTCGAGTTGAAGGCAGTCATTTTCGAGCCAAAAGGTTTTTAGATGGCCGAAATAATGATTTTCTTAGTTGCTTCAATGCCTTCAAACGTTTTGAAGAGCATCAGATGAGTGAGATCAAGATTCTAGTTGGCATAGAGAGGACAAAGACGTTACAAGGCATGCCTCCATTTTTCAAAGAGCTTCACGGGTCGATTTCTCATTTTGCAATGAAGAAGATCAAGGCTCAATATGATCTGTTACCCAACTCACTCCAAACCGCTTGTACTCACACCTTCCGAGGAGCATGGGGTCTTCCATGCTCCCATGAAATTGCAAGCGCGCGCGATACCTTGGATCACCTTTCGCCGGACATCATCGATTCCCAGTGGTCTCTCAAGTTGGAATTTCCTCCTGATACCCACGAAGGCCTCATCGAATCAGCTCGTTCTAAATTCAACGCACTGCTGGAGTTGCCAGAACATTCACTTTGCAAATTGTTTGGCGAATTGGAACTTCTCGAGTCCAGTCGTTACAGCCTGGTTCCAATAGTCAACGCGGTAGCAAAGACAGATACACAAGGGCGACCTCGTGGCAGCACTGCCAAAAGGCCAGCCGCATCTCAATCTCAAAGTTCTTCCAAACGTCCAACCGCATCTCAATCTCATCAAGAAGGACAACAAGGGTGTTGGAAATCTGATTTTGAACTTTCTGAAGAACTCAAAAAACCCCGAGTGAATAAATGCAGCTACTGTAAAAAACCAAATCACCGGATCACAACCTGTCCTCTTCGTCGCAGGCAGACCACTACCACTTCTACCAACTTGACGGCCAAAGAAGGTCCAGCCAAAGAAGTTCCTTCAACCACCGGCCTGTCTCATTTGGAAAAGCCTGAAGCGGTCATCTCTCACGTTCCGAAACAAGTTTCAGTTTCCGAAGGGTCCGAATCAGAATCTGATATTGGCCAAGAAGATTTAAACTGTGATTCATATTCAGAGGTCAGTGAAAGTGACAAAGAAGATGAAGCCAACCTCTGTCCATTTTGTGATGATCCGATGCCAGTTCAACCCTCAAAGAAACTTCTGGAATTGCGGCCACTCTTATGGCGATGCCCAACATTCGCAAAGGAGTGGGACGTGCTGGGGCTTTCTCTTTGCCAGTAAGTGAACTCCATGTATGACTTGGAATAACTTTGTCTTTGCCGAACTAACTAATGTGTACATAATTTCCTCAGTTCACCCAGACGGCAGAGTTCTGTTATTTACATGAGGCAGAACGTGAGACTATCCCAAAGGGTGTGGCTAAAGGTTGGCCAACCTCCATTGATTTCGACAGTTTAGAAGGGTAAGTTCTCTATGTTTACTGTAACGACTTTTGGATCCTGTCTTATGAGGTACTTTGTCACAAACACTCTGCAGACGTATTAATCAACATGTAGAAATCCTGAGCAAGATAGTCAACAAAGTTGAAAAGTCGTCTTACTTAGACATCGGTCAGAAGAAAAGCAAAGGTAGCAGAAAGCAAACCGACAGCATTCCCGGTCAGTTTGCGAGCTTGGAAGTGGAGCAACCCGGATAGTAAGTGTTTCACACTTACAATCCCCTTGCTTTGTTGAAGTATCTGATGAATGTTTTTAACAGCTATGGATATCAGGGGTACGAAATCATGATTAGGACACTCGAATCTATCTTCATCAACGACCTAGACTCAAAACATCACCTTGATTCACAGAAAGCGTCGCCACTAACTCCGGATTACTTTCTTCGACGTGTGCTCCTTCCTGAATTGGCAATCTGTTTAATAGCGGAAGACCTTCAATTAGATCGCAGGGATCCTCAAGTCCAGGTTACATTGGAAACGAGCCGTGATTTTGGTGTGGCTGTATTCCCTATTCAAGACCACTTGAACGTGACGACCACTTCATCAGCTCAATCTAGTAGCACAAGTGTTGCCAACAATCAAACTCAACCTCAATCAAACGTTTCACAATCTCATGATGGAGTATTGATTGATTCAGACCAAGAAAAATATCTCAAACAACTGCCTGATTTCTTTGTTCAGTACATCCAATCGGTCTTTGATCCACCAGCTTACGGTAACTGTGGATACTTTGCAATCGCCAAAGCACTTGAATGCTATGATGTGGAATCATATTCTTGGGTTCGTCACCACTTACGCGCAGAGGTGGTCAAGTTTCGAGAAAGCCATGAACAGCTAATCTCGAGCGCCTTCACAATGAAACCTCGCGGGATGAAGACTCGTAGAACGGCCCCTTATGCCACAGAGATTGTTGACGACCTGCTTATTCGACTTCTACCCCAAGCCCCGAAATGCAGTGAAGAACACTGGTTACGTATGCCCTACTTGGGCTTCGCCATCGCCAGTTCTTATGAATGCCCAGTTATTCTGATTGATCCCCTCAAATATAACTGTTACACTTTTTTCCCGTACCGCATTGCACCAAACAAGAATGATCCAATCATTCTGGCTTTTGTGAATAAGAATCATTTCATCACTTTGGTTTCTGGGGATGCGTTGATTCCGTTTCCCAAAATTTACGGTGATTCACAATTGACTAGCATACACAATAATCGAATTCCAGATTGGATTCGCAGGTATCAAGTTCAATTAGACCTGTGGACAGAGGTCTCCAAAGGTCAATCGAGGGGGCAAGGGTCCAAAGGTCAATAGTTTAGTTGCTCTACATGTTTTCCTTTTGCTTTTTATTTTAAATCTTCAATACTTGCTTGTGTGTGTTATGCCAATTTTTTGAACTTTCCATGTATGCCACATGTATGCCCCTATGCCAATTTGAATCTCATGTTCTTATGCCATGCGAAGACAACTGAGTTGCAAAGCGAGCGACATAGAACTACATTATATCCAAATAACGAGTTCATAAGTGGATTGATTACAAAATCAAAAGATGAAAATATTCGAGCAACATCATAGAACTACATTCTATATTCCAAATAACGAGTTCCGTACAAATTTGTGCAATTAAGTGGAATACAAAATGAAATGAAGGAGCCCCTTCCCAGCGTCCCTTTTTGGGAAAAAGGGGCTGCTTATTGGCTCGCAGCCCCGGGCCGGGTCTGTAAGGGGCGCCGGATACCTACCCGAGGTGCTCTAAATAGTGGAATCCAAAAAGATTACTAAATGTATTCCCTTCTAACATATTTTTTGTCCCTATTGGTTCCTTCATGGATGAAATTTGGTTATTAGTAAGATATTTCAGAGTAGCTTTTTTGTTCAATTTATACAAGTCACTTATGGTCAATTTACAAAATCTTGACCAAGTTTTCCTGCAAAAATTGAGCAAATTGATGGGGAATGTACGGCAAGCTTTTCTGGATTGACTACTGTTATGAAAAATGACAGGTCAACCAATTGAAGTAGTATATGTTGTGGCATTTATGCAATGTGAGAAGTTCACTACAATATTGCAATATTGAGAAACTTATTGCAAAGAAGTTAAAATGCTTGATACCTTTCAATTTAACAATAAACATGATTCCAAAGACAACACAAAATGACTAAGTTTGAATGTGACAAAAAAATACTTGATGTACTCTGATATTGAAACCACCAGGGGTTTGGGGCTAGGGGTTATGATCAGGGCAAGGACATTATCATGAACTCACAAGCAGCATGGCCTTCATAACCATTCCAGTCTCATCCGTTCCCTGTTGATTGCAGCCAACAGAGACATTCTAACAGCCGTCCCTCAGATCAATCTGTTTGATTTTCAATTGTCATCACCACTTAATCA